TCCAATGGCTTTTGGATTGCCCCATTTTGTTGTCACATGGCACAAAAAATCCTAGGTGGCCTAAAAAAATTCTAGAAGTCTTTCTAGATCTAGAAGTACTTCTAGACAACTTCTATTATATATTATATTATATTATATTATTTATTCAATTTTTTCTTTCTTTCAACCAATTATAAAATTACACGTGTCAGATTAAACCATCGGAGACACAATGTTTTAATCTCCTTCTTTCATGTCATGCAACCCAAAATAGACAAGATACCATTGGAGATGCTCTAAGCACAAATCTAACCCAACTGTGTTGTAACATTTTTATGTTGCTACTGACAATTCAAAAAACTCATTTCTATAATTCTATCCCACTAATCCCAGGAACCACACATCTAAAGGAAAGGGAAAAAAATAAAAATAAAAATAAAAATAAAATTTCCTAATATCAGGCGATCAACACGAAACCATCGTCGTCCAGAAAACTAACAGAAGCAGTTGACAGTGTGGCCGATGAGCATGATGTGTTCATCCCACGACATGACTGTATAATCAATAACATTGAAGATCAATAATTTAAATAAAATAACATCACAACATTTTCACCTACATAAATACATCAAAAAAATCAACTGGTCATAAACTTGAAATTAAAAAACTTCGTAAACACGCCAAATTAACTAAATCAAATCCAATCAATACAGCTACTTAAAGCCTTCCAAGCAACAAATCGTTTATGAAAATTTGATTGATGAAAGAATTATACAAAAAAAAATAAATAAATAAATCCACAAATAAACAAATTTGAGAGACAAAAAAAAGACCTAAAAAATCAAAATTTGAGATTTTATCTCTCTTATCCCATCAACTATCATCAACGTTGCTCTGTGCGGCTGACCAATTTCTGATCCCGACAACTATCATCAATGTTATATGAAGACGACGAGACGTGTAAAACTGAAGAAAAAAATATGAAGAAATAGATTCAATAACTTCTTTATCGGGAGCCGCTAAAAAACTGACTTGGGAACCGCTGAAAAAAAACTGACCTGTTCAATAACTCGTAAAAAAATAAACATACAGGTATATAAAATAATTAAGAATTATGTACTGTATAAATATAAATAAGTAAAAATATAAGACATAATGAGTAATTTTCTCGAAATTTAGTGGGCTTAATTAAAAATTGACACCCTAATTATTCCTATAGAGTCAGGTAGACAGAAAAAAATAGTGGCACATCATATTAATTAACACAAATGAAACTCATGTTTCCCTAGAAATCATAAAATCACTAAGTAACAAACAAACTCAATAATCTTCCCTCTTCATTATCCACATGTTAACTATTTCTCTCAATCAAATTTCCATTATCTTGGACCAGAAAGCTCCATGCAATGTGCATCATCGTCGTCGTCATCTGTAGTCATCGTCATCCCAAACATGCTCGACCGATCAAGACCAATGCCAACAGCAAATTCTGAATGTGAGTCGCTATTGTTGCGCGAGAAGCCAGAGGCCACGTGAATGTAGTTATGGGCCATGGCCCATTTCTCAGCAAGCCCATCCCCCTCGAGCATCCGAACCACATCCGACATTTTGGGCCGGTTGGCTGGTAGGTATTGAGTACATAATAAAGCTACTTGCACCATTTCCCCTACTTCGATTTTGTCGTAGTTGACCCCAAGCTGCGGGTCAACAAGCAGCTCGATTTTCTGCTCTTGCTGTATCTTCTTGACCTATAAACCAAAACAGCTAACTTTTGAACCCTTTTTTTCATAAATGCTACCAAAAAAAAAAGAAAAGAAAAACTACAATAGTCTTCTTATTGTGAGAATGAAGATCAAGAGTCGAGATATTTCTTAAATTTTCAACGTACCCACTCGAGCATGGCTCCTTTTTTGTTAACCGACTTCCCGAACTCAAGGGTCTGCATTCCAGTGACGAGCTCAAGAAGGAGGATTCCAAACCCGAACACGTCAGTTTTCTCGGACGACTGACCTGTCGAGAGGTATTCGGGAGCAATGTGGCCCACGGTGCCCCGGACAGCTGTCGTGACGTGTGATTCTTTGTGGTCGAGTAATTTGGCAAGCCCAAAGTCACCCACAATGGCCTCATAAAAGTCATCCAAGAGTATATTGGCGGCCTTCACGTCTCTATGAATTATTTTCGGGTCACATTGCTCGTGAAGGTAGAGTAAGCCCCTTGCTGCCCCAAGTGCCACTCTCTTTCTCGTGTTCCAGTCAAGAGCCAGCTTCCCTGATTTAAACCCGAAAAAAAAAATAATGAAAAGCACGAAAAAAAATCTCTTTTTATTTGAAGATTACAGGCAGCATTTTTGCATTTGCTGATAATATAGTAAAGATCATATCAAAATCTTGAATCATATCCACAGTAGTTTGAGTGGGGCCATTTCACAATTCTCTCCCCAAGTACAGGGCTAAAGAAAAGGTTAGTTCCATCTTACCCAGGCTGATCAGTGTAGGATAAACACACACCCATATGGGAAAATCTGCAAAAAATTACCACCTTTTCTTTTTTCTCTTAACAAAAACGCCACTTTTGATTGTTAGAACAAATGTTTTTGTTGTTTTTTCTTACTAGACAAATCACATTTTTGTAAAAATGTCAAAGGTGCCATTTTGCAAATTACCCAAAAAAGTTCATACCTTCAATACTTTAAAATACTGGTCCTAACTCATGACATCATTCACCACCAGCAATCAGAAGAGAGCTCAAACAATAAAGTCAAAATCTCCAAAGTTTACCCCTAAGCCTTGATGCAACACTCCCATTGGACATGTAAGGATACACGAGAAGCCTCTCGTTTGGGGTCACACAGTAACCAATAATGCGGAGCAAATTACGGTGAACAGCAAGGCTTATCATCGCCAGCTCCATCCTGAACTGAGATATCCCCGTGGACCCGTTTAAGTCCTTTAGCCGCTTGACAGCCACAAGAGTCCCATTTCCCAGTTTGCCCCTATACACATTGCCGAATCCCCCGACCCCAAGTATGTTCCTGGGGTCAAAATTGTCAGTCGCGCGCTGTATCTCTTTCAACGTGAAGATTTTGAGGTTTCCTAGTTTTATAAGATCCTCTTCTTGAACATCTGCAGCAGAAAGATAATGAGAAAAAAAAAAATGTGATGTGATGAGGTGTGTAAGGTGAAAAAGCTGGAGGGTTAATGTAATGAAGTAGTAAATCGTTTTTGTACCAGTGATATTCAAAATGGACTGCTTTCTACACTTGTTTCTTGTGCGAACGGTAAATCCTAAACCTAAGACTAAAATAGTGACGAGCGTAAGGCTCACACAAAGCGCGATCGCTAATTTCTTGGTCTTGGCTTTTCCTGAATTTGACCCGAAAATTTTTTGAAAACAAACGATTAGAAATGGAAAAATGAAGAGAAATCGAATATTAAAAAATGTACGGCGGGTTGCTAAATTTACTTGAAGATGGATTTACAGCAAGCGAAAGAGGAGTAGCCAGGACTAAGTCGGAGCATTTGTTGCTAGAGTGGTTTCCACAAATCAGAGGATTACCCAAAATGCTGCAAGAATATAACTTTGCATTAATTCTTAAGAAGAGATAATGGATAGTATGTAAGTGATTCTATGATTAGTGTCTGCCAAACATGTTAGATATTAAAAAGATCATATTCCCATGCTAATTGATGAGAAGGACTAGTTTAGATAAATCATACTTGAATGTTTTGGCAGGGAAAGAGGGAACAGGTCCACTGAGATTGTTGAAGGACAAATCCCTGAAAATTTCGAATAACAAACAAGAAAAAAAGAAAGAAAAAAAACCCCATAAATTAAATTGTGCAAACCAAAATTTGAATTCAATTTGAAGATAAGTTAGGAAATTGAATAGTATGGTGTTATTATCAATACTCACAAGAAAGTAAGATGAGAGAGACTGACTAAAGAAAGGGGTACAGCTCCAGTCAAGTTATTGTTGTTCAACCTCCTGATTTCAACATTACAAGACAAAAAAAAAAGATCATAACAATTGACAGTACGAAAACAAAGTCAAAGAAAGGGATGTCACAAAAATAACAGGCAACATGTAAGTAGCATGAGGCAAATTACACAACTTTTTTTTTATCTTTTTTTGCCAAGAAAAGGTTTTTTTTAAAAAAAAAAACAATTAATAATGATGATTAAAACTCACAAATACTGTAGATGATTCAAGAAACTCAGGGAGTCTGGGATATGTCCAGAAAACTTGTTGTTAGAGAGATCCAAAGTCTGAAGGTTTTTGAGGTAACCTATTTCTTTTGGAATGTGCCCAGAAATATTATTATTCTGCAATAATCTGCACAAGACAAAAGTTCAATATAATATTCAGACTTGTTCCTTATGTGTGTGTGTGTGTGTGTGTGTGTGTGAAAATTAACACATTTGCTCTTACACTTGTCTGAGGTTTGTGAGGTTTGCAATCACCCATGACAAGGAACCTGATAAACCCTGACTAGGA